GGAAAATAACCCAGCAAAACAATACCAAAGGTCTATACAAAACCTTACCATGGCAGGGCAGGCAAAAAAAAAGTTCCCAGAACAACATAAGGATAGGGCCATTAGACAGAACCTTATGGAGGCAGTGGAAAGCCCAGGTGGTTGAGGGGTGGGGAAGGGGGAAGAGGAAGTAAATACCAGATACTGCTGAACTGGGTGATATAAATGATGAAGCCCATTACAAAACCCTCAGGAATCTTTTTGTACGTAGCTCTGCAAGTCAGTCAGGTCCAGAATTTCCTGCTTTGGAGCACAGTGCTCTGAATGACATATAGCACTGATGGTTGTTCTGGGAGGCTGTCATAGCACAGGTGGTGATGGGGCTATGCTGACTCATTCACCAGATGCCAGTACTCAAACTGCCTGTCACGTGCTGGGACTGTCAACTAGTTGACCTGGTCTTGTACCTGTTTCTTCAGCATACTTTGTATCCTGGGGATCTGTAGTCCTGGGGCATCAGTCCTAGTGTCTCAGGGATGAGAAAGGCACTTGGCAGGGAGCATCTGGAACAAACATGCAGCACTTGCCCTTCTGGTTTCTGACGAGCAGAGCTGTTCCCCGGATTCCCCACAGCAAGAGATGTTCTGTACACCTGAGTCTGATGATCCATTTGTAGTCGTTTGAGAACTGCCCACTGAGTTGACCTGCCAAGATGTTCAGAAGCCCAGGAAGGTGAAGTGCCAGTCATGCAACGTGCCTCCAAAGCAGAACAGCCTGACAGAGCAGAGCTGACTTGGCACCTCCTTGTCTGTTGACTGTAACACAAGTACAGCTGATCCCCTGGGGCAGGGAGACTGATCCGGTGACTTCTGAAGCACCCTTACAGCCTTATTCTCCAGGATCTGTAATACCGGTATGAGGCTGTCTATCAGTACTGGTTTTGTAGATCCCCAAAGTAGGAACGCTTGTGGGTACAGGATAGTTGGCTCTGAACTGTAGGATGTTTATATGATGTCAAACTGACAAAGGGGACCCACAGACCCCGGCACTGAAGGCAATAATAGTATGAGGCCCCTGAGCAACATCTGTCCCCAGAGTTTGGGCAGGGAAAGTGACCCACTCCGAGGTTCCTTCTGCCAGTTTAACAAGGAGGTGACTTGCAGAACTAAAACTGCTGTGCGTCTGCTGGGTACGTATGCAGATTTCAGCCATCCAGGTAAGGGCAATTAGGTGAAATCCATAAGCCCACATGTCCCAAATGTTGGAGACACATTTTCACTGATAGTCTTGGAAAAGCAAGAAGTTGATAAGCCCTACTACTGTCTGGGCTCTTCCTAGTGGACGATTAGCTAAGCTCTCACTGACTTGGAGTCTACGGATACTCCTCTAAACTCCATTCTCAGAGCTGGAGGCAAAGGGGAGTTTTTGCTGACTTTAAGGTTGGTTGAGACAAACGGCTTTATGCTAGCTTAAGCCAAGTTGTTCACCTCTGGGTCAACCCACCTTAAATTAGAGAATTATAGATAAGCAGGTCTGCAAGGGACCTCTGAGGGTCATTTAGTCCAGCCCCCTGCTTAAGGCAGGATCCTCCCTATTCAAATCATCCCATACAATTCCTTGTCTAATCTGCCCCTAGAACAACACGAATCAACCCTCTTGCACAGCTATGAGGCATATGGCCCCAAAACACCAAGAGCAATTGACGTATGGGTGCTGATCAGCTATTGTTACTACTGAATACTCACTGAACACACTTGGTGCTGTGAAGAAACTGAACACCGTGGTCCCAAAACTTTAGTCGGATTCAATTAAAAGGAAGCCAAGCTATTTCATGTGGGTCAGATGGCTGAATATGTTAAATAGGTGGCTCATAGGCTGAAAGCTTTGAACCAGTTATCATTACCATGAACTTGACGTAGGGGATGAAGCTGTTGAAACTAGGTTCAGGACTTCTCTTTTTAAAGTCTCATTAGAAAGATCCCTAACAATGGAGGGGGACTGGAACTGAATAGGACACCCCTTGCCACTTAATCACGATTTCCAGAACCCACCATTTTATTTGGCAAATAAACCGTTGCCAAAAAGGGATGAAAGAGCAGGATATGCTGAGTCCTCTGGCAGTTCTGCTAGGCTCTTGTCAATAGCATTAGATCTCTGGTTTGGTGAAGCTAGGAAGTCTGAGGTAAGAGATGATTTTCTAACATCTTCCACAGCTGTGAGATTGATGGCAGCCCGAAGAACAGCTGCTGGCATGACAGCTTCTTCCTTGAGACTGGAACACAAAGGCCCCAGAGGACAAAATCCCACCATGAGTCTTTAGAAATGAAGGGCCTCAACTGTTCTAGTTTTGAGAAGTTCACTGCTTCCAAAAAGGAAGACTTAAACTGATGTTAAACCACCCAGGAGCTTAAGCCACTACAGCCTCCTTCTAATTCTAATAAGGACCTTTCATTTCTTTGCTTGGGGCCCAGTCACTCTTGTCATCTGGTTTTAACATAGGCAAGATGAATGTACATTTTTGTCTTCCCCAAAAGTCATAGGGATCCTCCTTAGCACAGCAACAAGTCCATGAGAAACAGCATGAATGTCAGAAGTACTCAAGGGGTCTATCCAAGACCTCTGTTTCTTTAGAAGTCCTTGAATTTTTACTGATGCAGATAAAAAGCAACTCACTGCCTCATCCAGGAAGCACGGGGAGATGGCAGCACAGGTCAGTTCATCTTGCAGCTGGTGTACTGCCTCACTATTCTCTTCTTAGTTTCATAGTTTCTAGGGTCGGAAGGGACCTGA